AATATACGTAAAACTACAGTCATATATGCTGTTTGATGTCATGAATAACAGTTATTCACGACGCAGTGACTGTGCTAAGGGCCGCGGGTTCGGATCTTGCACGGAACAAGTGCTTGCCTACAAATAATAATCGCTGGGTACGCAATTTTTCTCTTTAAAATGTTCCACGATGTAAGAGAAAACGTTAGTGTGTGGGTTATGATTAAAAAAATTGAATTGTAGAAATATACTCTCTAAGCCAACACTAAAGGATTTTATAACGTTTAAGTTACTAATATTAATATTTGTTGAAGTGCACTGTCAAATCATTCAGCATATTTCTGAAAAATTAACGGAAATCCAAAACGAAAATATGAGAATAACGATTTTTTTAATAAAAAGTAAACTAAAAAAGTAATTTTTTTGTTACTTAATTTATTATACAGCCTTTAATTATATAGAATAAGGGTGACAAAGGAGCACACAGTCCCGCTGATGGTGAGTGGATGCTGTGGCCCATAGACATCTACATTTATCCCCGATTACGAATCACGCAGATACAAAGACCTAGTGGTTATATTCTCTATGCGCAGATGCGATGTCACTCCTGGGGACTAATATGAAATGCCTCGTTTCCAGTAAAAAAGGGTCTCCGATTCTCTACACTCACCATACGAAACACAGCAGCATTAAGCTGCTATTTTACGCTAGTATTCTGTGAGAGCGTGGTCCTGCACCGGTCGAGCCGACCCATTCATGATGCCACTACAATATAGCTGCAGCACGGCTCTACCATGTAAAAGCCTGTTTTGTTTCGTATAAACCTATGTATTAGACTAAAAATTTCGAAGACGTGTCAAATCCGCCAACACGTCACATTGAGGCAGCGCAACAGACGACTCCTACGCCAAAACCCTCACAGAAATTATCGGAGGTATGTGTACAGGAGTGAGACGTACTCCTGTCCAGCCAAACCATTCGTGCTACAACCATAATATAGCTGCAGCGTGGCTCTACAACGTATATTATAGCCTAAAAAAAGTCTTTCCAGTCTCAGGCCTCCCCCATAGATTGTAGCACTTGACTTAGTTGCAAGCTTGGCGGGCGCGTCAGCAACCGCAGTATTTTATTTTTTTGTTATTATTATTAATGGTGACTTTGCTTTGTTTCTTTCAATCGGCTCCTAAACACCCACAGTACGAAATATGGTATAGTACATAGAATACTACAATACATAATAGAATGGCTGTCAACTTTATTTTATACGAGGATTGGCGTCGCCAAACCCTATTCGCTGTGTTGACAGACTGAGTAAATTTACACATTTTAGACTTTTTATTAATGTTCAAGATCATCATTAAATTTTAATGCATATTTATATGTAAATAGCGTGCAATTTGGCATTTTTTGCGAAATGAAACGAGTAAGAAAATGTGTGCATTTGGTTTTGACATTTTAGTGGCTGCGCGGGCTCCGCCCACTCCCCCGTTCTGTTATGTATGTATTATAGTATTCTATGGTATAGTACGTGTGGGTAATATGGTCATCCGATTAATATGGTCACTTTCTTATATATATATATATATATATATATATATATATATATATATATATATAACTCAAAAACTACAGCTTTGTTTACATAGATGGCTTTGTTAGACGATAGCGCTTCATCGGTCAATTAAAAATAATAAGGGGTCAAAAGGACGGTGCTTAATCGACACCATTCTGACAGTTGACATTATAATAAATGTTCTAGTCGATTTTAGAGTATTGTGTAGTGTAGTTAGCTTTTTTTAAGTAGATTTTTCGAAGTGTTCCTAATTATTGCCAATGTTTGTTTGTTTGTTTTAAATATATTAGTTATAGTATACGACAATGTGGTTTTGTCTACGTCATCCTCCTAGCTATGGTTTTATATAGCGGCAAAACTTAAGGTGACCATATTACCCTCACGTACTTTATTGGATACTCTTACACCGTCCCTACACTGTTGCTTACGGTTTAACTTTATCCAATTAGCGATTAAAATTTCTGCGTATATCAAGTTACGTGTAGAACAATAAGGAACTCGTGCGTGTTACGGGAATCGCTGGAAGCCGGCCCCCCAATTCGTTGCAGAAACCTTACTATTCTGTAGTTGGTACCTGCCTAGTACATATTAATGACAAAAAGTTTGTCAGCTAACGTTAATCGTCTTAGTATTAGAAGGTCCGAAACTGAGAATCCGATTAACTGCTTTAGCTATTCAACTGATTAACGATGTACAGTAATTAGATTTTTAGACGATGTTAATCGGCTGTTTCAGAATATTTTGTTAAATGTAGGTACGATAGAAAATAGGAAGAATGTAATGACTCCTTTAACTCGATGTTTCCTTTTTTTTAATATTAAAAGGACAAACGATACGCAGCCCTGATGATAAGGAGAGTTTTAAAAAAAGAATTTTGAAAATCGGTCCACAATTGGCGGAGAAATCGGTGAATATACATAAAAAAGAATACGTACAATCGAACATAATATAACCTCCTCATTTTTTAAATCGGTTAATAAAACTAAGGATGACGTTCGTTTGTTAGCGGGAGTACCCGTATTGACTAATACAGACTGATGAAGAAAAATAAAGGAAGAAAATAAAGTAGAGTTGTCTCATAACCTTTCCTGCTGATTTATTCCAGGACATAGTTGTTTTTCCGAACCAGTGGTAATGTTCATTTATCAGAAGTATTTTTTGGACTGATACAGAGTGATGGAGAAAAATAAAGTAAGAAGAAAAGTAGAGTTGTTTTAGAACGTTTTTTGCTGGTTTTTCCCTGGATAAAGGTTTTTTCCGAACCGGTGGTAATAGTAAAAAATGACTTCCATTAAGAATTACTTGTAATGTATATTTAATAAAAAATATTCCATTCTATTATATGTTTTTCATAATCGAGAACATTATAATGCAGGATATAAATTCAGGCTCACGTATTTATAAAATTTAAGCCAATTAAACTTTTTTTATAATTTGTTAATGCCGATAGAACCTCAGTAGCCTTGACTTCGATCGGCTCGTAGGGCGATACCTCTGTGAACGTGTTGGTAAAAAAAATCGTGAATTTCGTGAACAATAGATATTTTTTGTTATTTAGAGGTCAACGCCTGAACGCCGGCCATTGTTCTAAAACGAGTTAGATCGCCAATCTGTTTTTTTGGGCTTTAGAAATTGTGGTTATAATTAAAATTTAACAAATCATTATCCCTGTTTTTTACAATGTGCTAATTTGAGCGGTGTTTCTAATGCTCATTAACTATTGTGTATCCTTGAATTTTAATAATAGTGTCCTCTATACCGGATTTCGATCACGGTGACCAATTTCAGCACACAGGGACACTCAATTCCTTCAAGTCTAATTAGTCTGATGGACGGTAATACACCACAACCGGAGAAAGATTAGGCGCAGGAGCATCGGCTGTACGTGCTTTCGACTCAGGATTTTAAAACGGAATCGGATGATTAACGGTCGAATTTGAGAACACTAAACGCAGACAGTTAAGTTTTTTTATCATACACCCAAAATAAATTTATGTTAAAATCTCTGATCTCTAATCAAAGGCTTCCTTACGGTAAAGGGAAACATCGGGTCGGTATAAGATGAAGACTGAGTTATTGTCACCACCAGAGCATCTATGGCAGCATTTCATACGTGGTAGAACCACTCTGCAGCTATATCATGTTTGTACCACGAATGGGTCGGCTCGACCGGCGAAGGACCACGCTCTCACAGAATACCAGAGTAAAATAGCAGCTTAATACTGCTGTGTTTCGTATGGTGAAAGAAGAGATCGGACGACCATTTGTTACTGGAAACGAGGCATAACTTGTTAGTTCTCAGGCATGACAACGCATCTGCGTTCTGATTCTTAATCGAGGATAAATGTAGATATCTATGGGTCACAGCATCCATCTACCATAAGGTGGACTGTGTGCTCGTTCATGTGTAATTATCTATTGTAACGGAATCTTTTAATGAAATTCTCACCAAATTGTAGATGGCCGATTGACTATAAAATTTGCACTCGTATCAAGGACCGATAAAAATACTGTATAGTTCAGGCGTAAAACCTTAAGTCATCTCGTGGATGTCGTAAGAGGCGAGAGAGAGAAACCTAAACTGGTTTCTTCTCATAACAATTTTATAAATGAAAAAAATTACAAGAACTTTGTCCTCGTACCCTGATTAGAATCACCAGGAGGAATCATCACAGCTCATGAACAATGTGTTATTTAAGTTGTTTAAACTCTTATATTATCACTAGCTATCAGACCCGGCTTCGCACAGGTGAATTCTGGATCTCGACAACAGCGCCACCGAGTCCAATTGTGAATCTAAATCATTCTCGAATCATCTTAATCAAACACACAAAATTTCATCAACATCCGTCCAGCCGTTTTTAGGAGGAGTTCAGTTATGTATTCATGGACAGAAGAATTATATAATTGTATAAAGATATACCAATCCTGTCCGTGAATAATCACAGAAGATAGTTCTAACAAACTCATGTTAATAAAACATATTATGGCCTGTGTTCCAAAATGGAACCCAATATACTGTCCAATGTAAATGGCGTCATAAATCGACGCCATACTGGTGATTCGTTTCATGACATTGACCAGTATATGACATCATACATGCTCTTGACCACTCTTCCTCAGTAACAAAGAATGAGTATGATTTCTCTTTCTCTTCATCTTACAGATTTAACTGTTTAAGCTCTGCCATTTTTTTGTATTTGAATAAATAAAAACAAATTCTGGCATGCTTCATTCAGCGTACATACAAAAATTGTTTTAATATGACGGGATATCCGACATATTATGGCGGGGGCATGCCAGTTGGCGTCAATTAATGACGTCTTTTCCATTTACCAGTATACTGGGTTCTATTTCGGAACACAGGCCATATAATGACGTATTAGAAAGCTGTCAAACATATTAGCTTCTTTAATTCTTCATTTAAAAAAATTATATAGGTAAGTACCTGTTTAACACAGTTATCCTTAGTGTCGATTTTCGCGGTCAGCTCCTTGATGTCATTCTGGAGCTCCAGTAAGCGGGCTTCATATTCGCCCTGCGTCGTGTCCAGCCGACGCCTCAGCAGATGCTTCTCTTGCTCCAACTCCTGACGGAAAGAACAACAACTAATTAGACTAACTAATGTCTTTTCGCCTCAGTCATCTTATAAACACTTTGTAACAAACATACATAAACAAGATTACAAACATAATACAAAAATTGTAGATGAATCCACCTAAATCATTAAAACTAGAAAAGTGTTAAATTGAAAATCATTTAGTTACGGTGATAAAGAAATAACGTTGACACTGACGATGACGATGGTAGAGCCACGCTGCACCTATATTATGGTTGTAGCCTCGACCGGGGAACTCTCTCACCGAATATCAGCGTAAAATAGCAGCTTAACGCTGTTGTGCTTCGTATGGTGAGTGTAGAGATCCGGAAATCCTTTTTTACTAGAAACGAGGCATTCCATCTTAATCTTCAGGGGTGACAACGCATCTGCGTTTTGATTCTTAATCGAGGATAAATGTATATGTTTATGAGCCGCAGCGTCCACTTACCACCAGGTGGACTGTGTGCTCGTTTGTCACCCTTATTCTATTAAAAAAATACTGTAAATAGGATGATCAAAATAGTAATTCTGGGATATCATTTTTTCGGGTTACTAGTTCCGTGGAAATAAAAAATTTTCGACGCCTTCGCTAAAAATAGGTTTCGGTTATATTTAAGTATAATTAGATTAATAGAATATTTGCTATTTGTCTAATCTCTATGTTTTTATAGAATAAGAGCAACAAAAGAGCAATCAGTCCACCTGATGGTATTCAAAGACGTTATTCCTTCGTATTCAGAGACGACTACTCGATTTCCATCATCAAGTACTTAAAATTTAATTATCGCGATTCTTCACTTCGCGTCATTCGTTTAGTTATCGTAGATACCTCCCGTGCATTAGAAATAAACACTTCTACCATTCTTCCGCGAGTAAAAGGAAACACGCTTTTACATAACGCTGTTTTTCGATTATTGTGTAATTTGTGAACTTCGAATAGGCGGGTCAATTAAGATCCGCGTCTGGTGTGTTTAATTTTATAAATGTCTAAACCTGTTTCACTTATGTTTTACGTGTGAGATCCATGCTGGAGCTAAATTATGGTTGTAGCATTAATGAGCCGGCTCCACCGGGGAAGGACCACGCTCTCACAGAATACCAGCGTAAAATAGTAGCTTTTTTAGTAGTAGTTGACTGGCAGAGGATGCTTTTAGCATTAAGTATGCCTTTTGATCTTGTAATCAACAGGAGTTGTTTAATAAAGTGTAAATAAAAAGTTAATAAAATAGGGTGTACACTTGGGTGTAGCTTGGTAGAATAAATGCGTAACGCATCTAATTTTGGTTCTTAATTGAGTATAAATGTAGATGCCTATTGGCCACAGCATTCGCTTGTGCCAATAGACATCTACATCTGGACTGTGGGCTCGTTTATCACCCTTATTTAAAAAAAAACTGTATTGATCGTACGGGAGTACAGGAGAATCAGATTATACGAACCGTAAAATGTAGAGATAAGAACTTTGGTGAGGATCATTAAAAATTAGTGGTTCACCCCGGCTTCGCACGGTTGATTTCTGAATCTCAACACAGCGCCACCTACCGTGTACAATTGAGTTTTTAAACCATCCAGGTTTACCACTCAAATACACACAAAAAATTGTACTGATTAATTTTATTATTCATTATAGCCCCGAACTATTAGTATTTTTTCAACTTTCATAACGCCCCGGAAATCCCCTGCATGAGTGGAATTTCGTAAAATTCGTTCTCAGTTGAGCTCAAGATGACAATAATAATAATTTCGCCAAATTACAAACCTGTAGGAGTTATACATTAAAAGTATTTAATGTTGTTATTTTTTATTTTTAACGCCCCCGCACTGCACGGGAGGAATTTCATAAAATCCGTGCTTAGTAATTTTTATCTTTGGTGACTTTCAAGCAAGAAGAACATTCTGGCCAAGTTTTCTACACCTACAGGAGCTATAGTTTGAAAATGCGATTTTATTAAATTACGCTCCCGCAACCGTAAATCGCAAAATCCACCCGAAAAGGGGGTCCATAGCTGACCTCTAGTCGGCAAAAGGAATATTCCTACCGAATATTCAAGTCTCTAGGCCCTGTAGTTCCAGAGATATCGTGATGATTCAGTACATATATATATATATATATATATATATATATATATATATATATATATATATATATATATATATATATTTAATTCTTCTGTACGTGTGTTTCACACTTGGCTTCTCCTAAATTTGAGGCCTTGGATGGCTTAGATTCATTACTGGACCCGATAGGTGGCGTACCGATCGGGTTCTAGGTGCTTTTTTATTTTCTTGGTAGGACAACTTCTGCCGGGCCTGCTTGTTCGTATATAACGCAGTTATTTAAGGTACATACGTTACTGTTACTTAGAAATGAGCAAACTTTGATCAGGCTGTGTAAACAGGGCTGTATTGAACACCTTGTGCGTCACTAGACTATTGATACAACAGAATAAATATTATTGAAGCTTTCCATACATTTTCGTTTCATGTTACTGCCTCGCAGACCATTTTGAAAAGTTCTTGAGGTGAATTTAGGATCCAGTTTTTTTACCCGCGCTTGTTTAACATTTTTATAGGATGAAAATGACAAACGACCACACAGTTAACCTATACACAGAAAATTCTTATCACATCATCAGATGCGTTGTCACACTTGAAGAATAAGATGAAATACCTCGTTACCAGTAGGAAAGGGTCTCCGGTTCCCTGCACTCACTGTACGAAACACAGCAGCATTAAACTGCTTTTTTACGCTGCTATTCTGTGAGAGCGTGGTCCTAACCCAGTCGACTACAGACGTCCTCTCATTTCTGAGAGGAATAACGCTCTTTTCACTTCACACACACACAAAAAAAATTGTAAGTATAGTTTTATTTTTTAAAATTTATATGTTACGAAGCATTTGGACCACCACGTCGCTCTAGTACGTGTTGGCAGCCGACATATATTTCAATAAATGTGAAGACTAATAAAGAAAGGAAAAAAGATAGGGCTGTATGCAATTAAAATATTTAAGAATTTTTGAAAAGACTGGAATATATTTATTTATCATAGTTTAAATGTCCTATTGATATAATAATCGATTACAAGTCAATCTTCATTCGATTTGATTTCGCAATTCGTGTGTTTGTATCAAATAAGAAACTTTTATACTGATAATACATGCGGGACTTCACGTCCTTGACATATTTTGAGGACATGTGAAGACTGTTATCGAAAAGAAAAAAGATAGGAATGATTCTGATGATTCTCGTACGTGTTGCAATTGTAAACTCTAATACTTTTGAAAAAAAAACTCCGTTGAATTTCAAAATGACTCTTCTAAAGACAAAAGCTACTCGTGTAGTAAATCAGAAATGAAATTTGTTCTGTAGTACCATTAAAACATTTGTGAGTTTTTGTAAAAATAATAACTTTAAATTATCTCTCTTTATATATCTTTTAAAGTTTGTTAATCCATCTCGAGTCATTCCTTAATCGATTATTTCGGAATTCGTGACAAAACTCAGTACAAGATAAGAAACTTTTAACCCGATAATATGTACGACAGTGAAAGCTTTTGTAAGAGATCATGGGAATTATTTTCACCCCGGCAATCACTAACATAATTTTTTTGACACTTTAAAACCACGGAGCGCAGTACCGGGGTCGAGATGGTATTGTCTCGCATCGCATGAGACGTGTAGCGACCCACTTGCCTTGTGTTGTCTTGCGTGTTCAAATCTCGCTTCTTATGTGAACATTTGAACCGTGAACTTATGACTGGGAAGCGTAACTGACGGATCCTACTTTTACAGTCAAATGATCGAGTTTTCACTAGCTTTGTGTGGGGTTAAGTTATTATTACGTTTCTATTTGATTTGTTTGAAAAACTTCACTCGCTTTTCGTGAAACTGAATATGAGACCACGTCACGTCGTAAGAGGTGACTATGGGTAGCACCAGAAAGATCTCACGGCTCCCGATAGAGGGTGGTGTAATAATCCCTTTTACGTCAAAAGTAACAATCCTAGAGTGGCATCAAATACGTTAGGTGTCACAGAAAAACTTTCGCCAATCCATCTGCCACGCAAGGCGATTACGGCTTATCCTCTCCAACAACGAGAGTGGTTCATGTACTTATTTATTTATTTAAAAACTTAGATGTAACACCTAAGGTAAAGGGTACATAGGGCGGAATTAACCCCTCAGTCCCTTTAAAATTCCCATGCAGTCGCATGCGCCCGGCAAATCCCCAGCGGCCGCATGCGACCGCACCAACCCACAGCTCTTTAAGCCATTAAAATTTATATTTAAAGACTACTTTTCCACGACTAAGTTTGGCATTATAAAATCTATACAAAATTATCTATATAAAAGTCAGGTTTTACTTCATTACCAAAAGACTATTGTATTTTGATAACAAAAACAAAATATACCAAGCGAATGTCGGCAGCGTGAAAATCACAATTATTTCAATATATATTACTCGAAATTATTTACGTAAAAAGATAAATTATATTCACACAAAAACTTTCATTACAATTTTATAATAAAACACTATACTAAAACAATAATAAAACACGAGGAAAATCCAAAAAATCAACACAATAACATTCACGCGAAAATGGCGTTAGAAATTGAACGTAGATTATAAATAAATATTCATAGCATAACTATTTTGTATTGCTCTAGAGTATAGGAAATTTCATATTAATTCTATAATGCCAAACTTCTACATGGAAAAGTAGTCTCTAAATGTAAGTTTTAATGGTTTAAAGTATTGTGGGTGTGCGCGGTCGAATTCGACCGCTTGTGACACGAATAAATTACTGACGCTGCTTGTGTTTTTTCTAGTGTTTACAGAGTGTATATCACTTTTGTTACTAAAAACTACCTTTGTTTTTGTGAACACACTTTCAATTTTCGTAAATATATTGAATGACCAAAGTTAAAATATATATATATATATATATATATATATATATATATATATATATATATATATATATA